GCAAAGATTGTTGTTGATGAATGATGGGAGTGTTTTAGTGGCTAGGGAAATAAATCATTTTTAGAATATACCTGAATATTTTTTCTAAGGAAAGTATATAAAAAGAGTAAAATAATAGTAACAATGATAGCATGTTTATACAGCAAAATATCAGCCAGTTTTCTGAAGTTCAAAGACATGGCTTACCCACTTCCTGTTTCCTGTCATGGATCGTTAACTATTCACTACTAAAGAGGATGACGCCAGTATGTCACTTCTGAGTGGTTTAGTGGGATGTAGATATTGTGGTAGCCAATAGCCAGGCAAATAGGCAGCATCTGTATTGGTTGTAAACGTTAGCATCCTGTACTTAACCAAACAACGTTGTCTTCTTTTGGTCCCAGGTGCTGCTTGCAATAAACTTCCAACATTTACTCAGTTTAGTTTTATGGTTTATAATTCTCTGAAAAATCAGCCAACTGAGGAAAAAGTAGACTGCATCTAAGCCACTTTTTTTCTGTCAACATCTGTGTTTAAAGAAGGAAGAAACAAAGGCTGAAAAGGTTATCTGCTGTCACAGTATAGTTCCTCGTGTATTTTAAAGTCTTTCCGTAAAATAAGCACAAAAATAAATTTATGCTGAACTGGCACTTTCACTTGCTACATCTGAATTTTTTTTTAATTTTGTCTATTTAAGCTTTGTATATCTTCTGAAAATAAATATGCATATATGTATGTGTTTTGTATATATTTAAATTTTAAGTGATATTTGGATTTCTGATTGATGTTGCAAGAAATTGCTCCTTTAGGTATTTATTTTCACAGTGGTATATTAAAACCAAAACCAAAACAAAACAACAAAAAAATTATACAGTATCCAGATACTTAAAATAACTAGAGTGTAGATGTTTCTTAAACCTAAAAAGTAACTGAGTCTCAGCCTGATTAGTCCTGATTAAATTTCAGTGTGTTAGAGTGATACATCTCTCATCACTGATTATTAGCATGGCCTAAAATTCTCTAATAGCTTAAGGAAGGAAGAATGCTATTAATAATATAGACACTTTATTTTGCACATATTGGAAAATGAGTAATCTTCTAATGAGCAGTTGTGTTGATTTTCTTTGTCATTTCTCATTGATGGAGTTCCTAATGGGCAAAGGTTCTTTCTTATGTAACAAAAATCGTATGTTTTAGCTACTAATGTTTAGCATTGATCATTTCTTTTGAAAATTATTTGGGGAACTTAATCCATAATTTTATTAATTTGTGCAATTAGAAATAGGTCAATAAAAATACTATCTATCTTGCTGTTGTTTTCCTAACTTTGGAATAAAATGTCTGACAACTGGATGGAAGTTTGTGTGTGCCTTCTCACTATCATCTTTTCCTCTAAAATCATTATCTTTTATATCAGGAATCACTAATAAAATTACTAGTATGATATTGTCTTTAAACTTCAGTATTTCTGCTCCTTTTTTTCTATGTTTGTCTTAATGTTTAATGTTACTTATAATTTATGAAAAGCTACAGTTTTGAGGGTGGTATAGGTCACTTGTTCTCAGGCCATACTTAACATATCAAAATTGTGTGGAAAGTCTCTTTAAAAATGCCTTTCTATTCTGTTCCACTAAATTGGATTCTCCACAAATGAGGACTTGAAATCTGGAATTAGCAGCTACTGATAGAAGCCTGGAAAGCACATAAGGAAACAACCCCGTGGCTTCATACTTCAGAGCAGAAGAGGAAATCTTACTTTTGAGAACTCCCATGAGGTGTACCAACTTGTTTAAATCTAATACTGGGCTGTGAAACAAGGGAGAAAAAAGCTCATTTAAACTTGCAGCATATTTGCTTTATGATGGCACTCCTGTTTTGTGTGTCTGCTCTTCATTAATAAGTTAGGTAGTCATTTACTAGAAGAGGGAGAATGAAGTTGAAAGTACTCATGGCCTGTCACTTCCCAGCAAATTAGGAGTTTAGCTGACAAAACAACCCACATAAGTTTTTAAAAGGTGTATTCTTGTTAACTCACGTTCTTCTTGATGGAAATAATTTCTCTATATACCTAAAGTAGACAGAAATGAAATTGCTTTGGAAAACATTTTGTTAAAGTTCTAAAGTTGAATATAATATTATTTAAATAATGCAAATATACTGTTCTCTCCTTTGAAAAGACAGAATTTTGTTGGTTTTGTGCTTGGTGGTGATACATAAAAGGGCACTCACTTGGAGACTAGTTTTGGTTTTTTGTTTTGTTTTTTGTCTTTTTTAGGTTTTTGCCATAGGACATGTGTGCTCCCCAGAGAGAGAGAGAGTGGGAGAGAAAGTGAGAAATCGCTCCCCAGGGGGGATGGCCATACTGCAATCCATTCTCCTTCATTCTCTTCTCTGATTTTAAGGCACACACTCACATGTGCCTGGCATGATTTTCAAGCCACCGGGTACAGGACTCAAACCATGATCAGCCATGTGAGAGCTCAGCACCTTAACTACCTTGAGATAAGTGTTTATTAAGGTTTTAGGGAAGACACAGGGAACTAGTTAAATAAGAGAATTGCAAGTCAATTATAAATTGAACTTAGAAATGGTTCACTAAAACTTTGGAAAAGCAAAAATGTAACTTAGAAAGCATCCTTAGAGCATATGGTCATGATCTAACTTTTCATGGCAAATACTACTTGATGATTTGCTTCTCCCATTTCCTGCCTGTATTGTGCATATAGTACACACTGTTGCATGGCATAGGGGAAAGGCAAGA